GGGACTACAGGGGCCTGCCACAACACCTGGCTGCTTTTTACTTGCAGTTCAGCCAGGGCTCAGTTTGAACCCGCCACCCTCAGTATATGGGGCCAGCGCCCTACTCACCGAGCCACAGGCGCCGCCCAGTGAATTATTATACTTCCTATCTAAGGATAAGCTACATAGTACCAGCAGAGAACCTTAGTTTCTTTACTTTTTCAGAGACGGTCTCCCTCTATGTACCAGGCCAGAGTGCAGCGGTGACCACAGGCTACTATAGCCTGGAGCTCCTGGGCTCAGGCGATCCTCCCTCCTCAGCCTCCTGAGTAGCTGGGACCACAGGGTCCTGCCACCACACCTGGGTCTCATTATGTTGCCCAGGACGTCTATATTCATTCCTGGCCTCCAGCGATCCTCCCACCTCAGGCTCCCAAAGTGCTATGGTTACAGGTGTGAGTCACTGCACCTGGCCAAAACTTAGTTTTTACTAAGAAATTATGATGCCTCTATATTAGATGAAAACAAATATTCCCTCAGTTATCATTGTAATTCTTGTGACATGAAATTCTCCATCTACAGGCATCTCAAGTCTGCTATGAAGCCCTGGAGACTGCTCACGCACTGCACTCACCACTGTACTGCAGAGGCCAAATCAGGTCTGAAGAGGGGAAAAAACAGGACAAAGAACAAGAGCGCCTTGAATTTTTGGTTAATAATAAAACAGTTACTAAGAAAAAATAGTAATTGCTGAAAACCAGGAAAAACGCTTCACCACCTATTTCTAATAAACTACATATCTCCCCAGTAATTACGACTTGCAGAGGCCAAAACAGCTGTGGGAAGAACACTGGCACTCGAAGTTTCTCTTGGCCTTAGAAGCGTTTCTTCTGCATACTTAATGACTAATCACAAGACCTACACATTTCTAAATGATGACGGTGTCATCTCATTGCGTGGAGCTCATCATCTTGAGGGCAGAAATATAAATACTCCATTGCTCAGCTTTACCTAATCCGTCTTTGTATGTGAGTTTTGAGTTTCTGAAGCCTCCCTCACTGAGCCTTTCCTGCTCTGACTGGTGCGCACCCCCTCCCCAAACTCCCAAACAGAACAATTCTCATTTCATAGTCACCAAGTTGCATCTGGAAAGAAACTGACAGATCTGGTAGACTGAGTAAACAGACTTGCTAGTCAGTAAAGAACACCTTAAAGTCGTGTATCTGTCACTGCGTCCCTCCCTCTCCCGCCCCTGCCTGTGTGATGAACAAATAACCTCAAAGCTGTTTCCGTAAATACAGGAATGGAAAAAGTGAGTGTGTGGATACTCGCTTAGATGGAGGCAGGCTGGCTTTGTAATTAAGGCCACCAGGATGTGAGTAAAACCAACAGGGACACTTGTTTATTGCCCACATCACGTTAGTCAGCGACTGGGAACATCCATCCAGTGTTCACCATAATCAGACTCTCAAATACAAAGAACCAAGCATTAAGAGAGCTTGTATGTCACAAAGCACTACAATGAACAGTGGTTCAAAGGTTCAAATGGTTTAGACTCAAACATGAATTACAACCCCACACTACCCTAAGCACAAAAGGCAGTAGCCAGCCTCCACCTTGAAAGTTTCACATCTCATGAAGACGAGTTCTGATGACTGACTCACTCAAGAAGCTCAAACTGCCAGTGTCCTCTCTGTTCTAGCATTTTTGTTGTTGTTGCAGTTTGGCTGGGGCCGGGTTTGAACCCGCCACCCTCGGTATATGGGGCCGGTGGCCTATTCACTGAGCCATAGGCACCACCCTGTTTCTAGCATTTTTTAACTAATAAAGGTCCTAGGTTTCACAGATTAAAAGGTAATCACAGGGTGGCACTTGTGGCTCAAAGGATTAGGGCGCTGGTCCCATATACGGGAGGTGGCAGGTTCAAACCCGGCCCTGGCCAAAAACTGCAAAAAAAAAAAAAAAAAAAAGATAACTATATAACTCATTTCTGTAACATTTGTCCTTCCATAAACACTCACTCTTGGCCCAACCCCTCCTTACCTCACTCCAAATATAAAAGAGTAAAGCAGCCTAAGAAGACAACTCAGCCAGAATTAGCAGAGTCACATGCTCATGTGAGCCTTTCCTCTCGGTTATAAGCTGGACCTGGTGACGGACTTCCAGCAAGTGTGGAGAAATGATAGGATATCACTTACAGTCTCCTGCTTTGCTGGCTCTGTTTTATGTGCCTGCCCACTGTGAGGGACACCAGCCCCCAGGCTGTGAGACAGAGGTGTCTACACAGCAAGGAGCTGAAACAGGCCTCCAGTCAACAGCCAGAGAGGAATTAAACCTTGCCAGCTACCACATGAACAAACTTGGAAGCAACTGCCTCCCCCACCAATCCAGCCTTCAGATGAGACCACCCTCCCATCACCAGTCTGAGCATGCCTCAGTGAGGCCGCCTTAAACTAAGCCACGTCGGCATTTCTGACTCAGAGAAACTGTGAAAGTAATACGTTTGCTGTTTCAAGTATCAAATTTGTTACATACTCATGGATAATTAATACAGCTAATACTTAACTTGCTACAAAAATATGTTTGAGACTAAACATACAATCATTCTCAGTGCTGGCAGCTACTCTAGCCTGCCACTTGGTATGACTCTAACCTGGGGAAACATCAGAAAGGGCGTTAGAATGGTGCAGTGGACACCCTCAAAGGGTGGGGCATCGGGACAGGAGAGGAATCGCGGGGCCAACTCTCACCCTCAGAAGGTCAGTCTCCCTCACCAAGCCTGACACCTACTTTCAGTGCGTCCCCTTCGTTGCCATCCATCACTTCGAGAATCAGTGCAGCCAAGATGTTAAAGCCTTGACAGTATCCAACATTTTTGTTCCATCGGGCGTAGGCCAGCAGCACCCGCTTCAGTACCACCCTGTCCTGCTCAGCCTCCTGGCCACAGTAAGAGCTGCAGCCTGTGCGGTGAAGGTCCTAGAATGGGAGCGAAACGATACGTTCAAAAAGTAACTCCTAATACTCCCTACCAAAAAAATACTCAGTTTTTTTTTTTTTTTTAGAGACAGAGCCTCACTTTATCGCCCTCAGTAGAGTGCCATGGCAGCATCACACAGCTCACAGCAACTTCCAACTCCTGGGCCTAGGTGATGCTCTTGCCTCAGCCTCCCGAGTAGCTGGGACTACAGGCGCTCGCCAAAATGCCTGGCTATTTTGTTGTTGCAGTTCGGCCAGGGCCAGGTGTGAACCCACCACCCTCGGTATATGGGGTCGGCGCCCTACTCACTGAGCCACAGGCGCCGCCCCAGTTATTTTTTGACAATTAAAGAGTCAAATTATCAATATGTATTTTAGATTTTAAAAATATACAGTAAAACCTCTGTAAGTTGACACACACACACACACACCCCACCAGGGGACTGGAACAAACTGATCAACAGAGGTGGTCAGCACAGGGAACGAGGCCTGCTGGACTGGTAAGTGCATGTGGTGCACGTCCGTCTATGAAAGTTTGGTCAACTTACGGAGGTGGTCAGTGTGGGGAGGGGTCAGCCGTGGAGGTTCTGCTGAATGTGAACCTTGCACACACGAGCCAAGCACTTTCTTTAGCTTTTTCTTTCTCCTAACATTTTCTAACATGTTATCTAAAAGATTTCTAAGAAAATTTCCACATAATGTGTTTCAAGAACTGACACAAAAACTGCCTCAGAATTAGCAAAAAATCAAATAATTTCATACAGATTGACAGTTTTAACAATATTCCTTAGATACATTCATCACCTCAACATGTGTATTAATGTTAATATTATTCCTTTCACAAAAAATGGTATATTTAAGCTATTAAAACTCTAAATAATGCTAAGGAATAAAATCAAAATAGCAAAAAGCACAATCGCCACTGCATAGAGACCAAAAAATTATTCTATTCAATTAGTTTTATGAATTTGTGTGAGGGCAGAAACATTTGCTGGGCTCTAGGATTTCAGTCTGTGATTTAATTACCATGCAGAGATGATGATTTTCAGGAGCTAAAGTCATTTTACTGACATGTAAAATAAAAGATCCTCTTAACATGATTATTATAAAATGTGCATTGCTTTAATTCACAAGTCAAAGAGAGAGAAAATATTTTAAAAGAGATACTTCATCTCTGTGAGGCAGATTCTGAAATTTCAAATAAACAGCTGAAATGTGGTTAATGCAAGGTTTTTTAGTATGCAGTGTAAAAATTCCATAATTTTTTAGCGTTTGTCTGAAGCAGACCAAGTTAGATCAGTAAGTAACTAGTTAGTACTCCCTAAAAAAAGCATCTTCAAATATGCCAAAACATTAGCCCATCTTGTGGTGGCCAAAATTTGGATGAAACCACTTTCTTTTTAAAACCCCAGCTTAGCTTCACACTGTAATGTACTCATATGAAATCAAAACCATGTGCTGGAGCCTTACATAAGAGGATAATGCTGGGATCAGAGTAGTCTGCGTCCTCAGCTTCCAGCACCAGGCTCTAACAAACTGTAATAACCCAGCAGACAAACCACAACTACCTCTAGGGCTGGCCTCAACCTGCAACCCTTTGGCTTAAAGTAGACCCACCAGTCCACATAACTTTCTTTATAAACTGACAGTTAAGAAACCATCAAAGCCCCTAGTAAGACCCAAATGATTCTAATATGAAATATGCATCCTGTTAAATTTCTTTATCAGTGACTTTGATGTAAAAACCTGTTTGGCCATACTGACCCATATTAAAGAAAGGAGAGAGGAATGTCAATCTCCTATCACGGGAGGAAAGCAAACAAGATGTGAATGGAAGCTCATTCACAAACGTTTTCTTCTTACTGGAAACATTTAACTTGTGAACAAAGTTCCCCATAAAAAAGCTGTTAACTAATGACAAAGCATAAAACATACAGATATTCCCACAATAAGGCAGGGATCATTTGCTCCTCTGTCCAAAAAACATGTGGCTCTCAGAGTCTTTGTTCTGTGTGGGCGACAGGCCATGCCCAGGGGCGTTACCTTGACTATCTGAATTCCCATCGAGTCGTCGTCAGGGTTACTCCTTTCATTGAATGTGAAACGCATGGTCTTGTCCCAGTCGATGGCAATACTGTGCAAGTAATGGTCTGCCAAGGTCAACCACACCTAAAAATCACACGGATGAATTAGAACGCTCAAGCAGAATACATAATTTCACAGTGACTGCATCTGACGAGAAAGGGGAAGTGTTCCTTGGCCAGAAACGGCTGGCTGGCAAGCAGAAATCTACAGGAGCCTCGGGGAGGCTTGTGCTGTACTGAACTGCATCGCTCAGGCCTCTGACCCTTTCAGTCAGTATCTGCTGCGCTCCTGTTGTGTCAAGCAATAATCAAGGTACCAGAAACACTGTTAAGAAAACAAACCGAAAAGGTTTTCAAATTTTATTTCAGTTTTCAACATAGGCTTGTTGTACAATACTCCAGATTGCTCTCTGCTCTTAGGCAAGAGTCACCTGGTCACTCATGGGGAACAGGCCTTTTCTCACCACGGTGTGGCCTCCGCCTGTAAATCATCCTTCCCTTTAGCGATACACACAAAACTGACACGTGGGCTCCCGTAATAACTTTTTTTTAAAGAATCACTGAATATTTTTACTTCTTTGATCATCTTATCCAGAAAATCTGTTTCTGAAAGATGTATTTACGATGTATTTCATAATGCCATTTTTAGTGTATATTTTGAGGAACCCTCTGTTCAAATTCTAGAAGCATAAAGACTGAGTTTATAAATTAATAACCTAAGAGTGCATTTCAACTTTTGGTATTTGGACATAATTTAGCAGAAATGGCATTGCTTAACATCTCTGACCAAACCTCTCTTCTGTACATCAGAATATACACGAAGGTCCACTTGATACCTTCAACTTAGATGTCTGACAGATATCTCAGCCTTAACAGGTCCAAACCAATCACTTAAGCTCATCCCCCCAATGGTACAGACACACACACACCTGCTCCCCCCATAGCAACTGTTCTCTGGTCACTCTGGCCCAAATCTGGACGTTTTCTGTGACAGCCCTCTTAGACCTTCCATTCAATCCAACGGGAATTTATGAGCCTTTACAACATGGTAGATCTGACCCCTTCTCTCCATCTCCACAGCCACAGCAGGAGACCTGCCTGAATTATTGCAACTCTCCTCCTGGTCTCCCTGCTCCGTCCTGGTCTCTCACGTTCTCTAGTCAGTAGCCAGAGCAGCCCAGGCTGACCGTAAGTCAGGGCATGTCCCCTCCCTGCTCAGAACTTCCCGCGCTTCCTGTCTCTCACAGAGCAAGAGCCCAAGCCCCACTGTAGCCTCCCCCATCCTACTGCTCTGCCACCTCCAAGCACCACACCCCCGCCTGCCTCCCTTCTGCCCCCACTCAGATACTCCAGAGACGTCCCGGCCTGAGGGCTGAGGGTGTCTGCCCGGCTCCCTGTTGGAAGGGCCTTTACCCGGCTGACTGCTTACTCCCTGCAGGGCCCTGCTCAAACATCACCTTGCTATTTAAAATCCCACCTACTAAGCCCTTTGCTCCCACACCCTCCCAGTTTTTTTCTGTTTTATTTTTATCCATGACACTTTCATTTTATCCATTACCATGTGACATACTTTATATTTTATTCATTGTAAGCTCCACGAGGACAAAAACTTTGGTCTGTTTTGTTTTCCCACTGCTACATCCCTAGAACCTAGAACAGTAGCAGGCACAGAAAAGACAATAAATACCTGCCGCGTGAATGAAGTGAAGAGGCAGGTTTTAAAGCACTAAATCTAGAACACAGTCTCTAAAGGCAGCGTGATGGCCCTGCTCGGCCCTGCTCGGCCCTGCTCGGCCCTGCTCGGCCCTGCTCGGCCCTGCTCAGCCCTGCTCAGCCCTGCTCAGCCCTGCTCGGCCCTCCGGCCTCCCTACCTTTCTTCTCCATTCCTTCGGTATCCCTGTGGACAGTCTGGCAACGGCCTTGAGAGCATCATACCACTAGGATCAAAAAAGAATAACATCAGCCTGGGTAGGCACATTTCAAACTTTCTCACATTTTAACATCCATAGAGTATGAGGGGCATTATGACAGTTTTGAGATGCACAAGAATCAAGAGACATAAAATCCGCACAGACAGAAACAAATGAAGCCCTCCCAGCAACACCAGCGAGCTGAGCTATCTGAAACCTGCACTGGTGAACCAGAAAGGACGCTGTCAACTCTGTTTCTTGGAAGTCAAATAATGGACCGTAACACAAACTGTCTCAAAACTTTCGTAGTGACCCATGTATCGCAAAATTTGAACAGCACACTGAGGGTAACAGCCAAAGATTCTTGCAGCCAAAAGTGATCAGTGACCAAAAGTAAAGTTACCTGCTGAAAACCATTTTGGCCTAAAGATGGCTCAAGAGTGAACTTCAACTTTGTATCAACTCCTAAAAAAGAAAGATACATAAATAGCTATTACTTTTTAAGACAAGTTATATCTAACATACAAGTAAAATCTTAATTCTCCTGAATCATCATAAACTTTCTAAAAGTTTTCAAACTAAATTTTAGTCAGTTTTGTCAAAATAAAAAGCTAATTGATTATTAAAACAGGAAAATATGTCATGGCAATAGAAGGGAGCTTATCACGAGGGCTGGTGGTTCCCACAGCTGCCTGGAGCAGTGCAAACCGAAAACCCACACCACAGGCCTGGAGTCACCCAGACCTCCGCTCAGCTTTGGTTCCTGGACTTAAACAAATCACTTAACCTGCCAGCCTCAGTTGCCTTTTTCCTTTTTTTTTTCTTTTTTTTTAAGAAACAAGGTCGCACTATATTGCCTGGGCTGGAGCACAGCTGTGATCATGGCACGCTGCATCCTGGAGCCCCTGGCCTGAGTAACTGGGACGACAGGCCTATCCCACAATGCCGGGTTTCAATTCTTTTGTCTTTAAAATGAGGATTACAATGTCTATCTCAGAGGACTATCATGGTGATTAACTACAAATCACCTAGCACAGTGTAATTAATATTTGTGAAATTTAGAAAGAGAATTCTCTACTTACAGAGTTTGTTTTTCTAGGACACTTACCTGGACTCATATAATACTAAGGAGACGTCAATGGAGTATCAAATGCTATAAAATAATATCACTGACTCTTCTCTCTTATGGAATGACCAATTATGACAATTCCATGTGGGAGATGTTCATGTATCTTTAAATTTTATCTCAATATAGTCTATTTTAAATTCTATCTTGAGAAGACAGTATGTTTATTAAATTATAGACTACAAGCTAAAAATAGAACTGACTTCAAGTAACCTGCAACTTTAGATAAACTTCTTTGACTGGAATCCCAAACCTACAAATAGAAGTAAATAAATGGGAAAATATATAAAGAATCTATGTTTAATGCTCGTATTGGGCTTTTATTTGGGATTCCACATAAAAATTATGTGTTGTTACGGAAGTGAAAAAGCATCATGGTTTTTACTACCACTTAAATTCTATTTTTAAAAAATCAAGTCTCAAAATGCTATGTATTCTTTTTCTATAACTTCACAATCAATGAAATGACATTTTTTTTTTTTTTTTTTGAGACAGAGCCTCAAGCTGTCCCCCTGGGTAGAGTGCCGTGGCATTACAGCTCACAGCAACCTCCAACTCCTGGGCTCAAGCGAGTCTCCTGCCTCCGCCTCCCAAGTAGCTGGGACCACAGGCGCCCGCCACAACGCCCGGCTATTTTTTGGTTGCAGCCATCATTGTTGTTTGGCGGGTCCGGGCTGGGGATTTGAACCCGCCACCTTAGGTGTACGTGGCTGGCGCCTTAGCCGGTTGAGCTATAGGCGCCGAGCCTGAAATGACATTTTAAGTCACTCTTTAGAAGACATTGTTCAAAAGTTCAAGGCCCAAGAAACACCAAACATCAATAACATTCAGTTTTACAAATTGTTGTGCTTCTCCAGCAGCTGACGGCAGATTGGGCACACTGATAACCTCCACACAACTCCCACTGCCCAGGGGCTGGTGTGGAGAGGAACAGCCCTCAAAATATATAAAACAACAACAGTCAAGTAGACGGGCCTTTGTAAACAAACACACACATGGAGTCCAGAGGCCGGCAAGGGCGCATCTGATTTGCCCAAGCCCACGACAGCAGGCAGACGGCCTCGTGGGCCTTGGAAGGACGCTGCGAATACTGAGTTGGGTCCCAGATTTACAAAGGCGAGTTGAGGGGGAGTCCCAGGCATCCAATCAATGTCTTGATATTTTGTTTTCAAAGCTTCAAGGAGCAAAACCATATTCGGCTTGGATAGTTAAGATTTTATCGTCCAAAGGACTGTTAAGTACCCCCACGGATCCTCATCCCGCTAAGATGGTTTACTGAAGGGCTGCCCCAGAGCAGAGCAGTGACAAGTGGCCGCAGGGTCCGCCAGCTCCAGAGCTGCCGCCTCCCAGCGAGGGTGCTGTCCAGACCGGGGGTGCTGAACGGAGGCGCGGCGGGCAGGATGTTTGCTCGGTCCTAACAAAGCCCGGGGAGGCGGCCTCGCAGACGCGCTCTACCGCACTAAAGCCCCACATTCCGGGTCAGCACCGCCGGGCACCTGCCAGAGTCACGCAGATTCACTGCGCGTGTGGAAACCAGCTGGGGTTAGTTCGCCAAAACCACACCTGCCCGTCCTCTCGTAATCACAAATGAGTAAGAGGGTTTAATTGAGAGTGACCATTCCTTGCATGCACGCAAAAGCTTAAATCAGGTCATCTTCACTGCCCTTTCTTATAACTTGAAGAAGGGCAAGGTGGTTTATGTTTCATCCGATAATCACAGCTGTTCCAGGTTCAGAAATACAAAACACTTCTAACGTGGGAAGGAGATTAAAAATAAAAGTAAAAGAAGATGAGGAATAAATACCACAGCCTCTGCAACTAGATACTTCCTAGGGGAGAAAAACAAAGGAGCCACGAGGTTGGGAAAGGCAGCGGCGAGCTCCCTGTCCCGGACTCGGAGCCTGGGCTCCTCCCGCTCTGCGCAGCGAGTCCCCAGGGTCCCAGCAGGCGCCTCCCGGGACAGGTGGCGCTTCGTCCGCGCCAGGGCCCAGCTCTGCAAACCCAGGGAGGCAGGGCGGCTGGGCCGGGGAGGCGACACGGGGGGAGCAGGGACGTGCAGACGCGGGCTGCGGGGGCTAAAACAGGCCAGGCTAGGCCCGCAGCACAGCCCCACGCGGCACCCAGGAGCTCAGTGCGCGCAGCCCCCGCGCCCCGGACGCAGGGGCCCCAGGCAAACGCCCTGTTTTCCCCTTCACAGTCGCCGCCTCCCGCTGCCCCCGACCCCTCACTGAAGCCCGCGCCGCTCTCTCCGCCCCGCACACCGCGATCCCACTCAGGCTCCCCGCGGGCCCGTGGAACAAGCAACGGCGAGGCCTCCGCAGGGGCAGCTGCCCCACCTCCCCGGCCCCGCGCGCGCCTCCCCGGCCCCGCGAGCGCCCCGCCCTCCCAGGCCCTCCGCGCCCGCCCGGCCTCACCCGGCTCCAGGGTGCAGAGCAGACGCGGGGCGGTGCGGGCGATGCAGCTGCGCTTCTTGAGCACATTGCTCAGGATGGTGCCCACGCCGCCGCCGCCGCCGCCCTGCCGCCTCGGGCATCTTCCCCCGCGCCTCAGGGAGCCGGTCAGCTTGTCCTGCCGCATCCACCGTCCGCCTCGGGCCGGGCTGCCCCGCCGACCTCACGGCTTCGCTGGTGGGGCTCGGCACGGGCACGGCCGAGGGGCCTGCGGGAGCCGCGACAACGCAGCCGGCGCTCTGGGTCGAGGGAGCTGCCAGGCCCCGCGAGAGCCGCCGAGCGCAGCGCAGCCGCGGGCACCTGCAGTGCGGAGCCGGCGCGGCCAGGGCGGCAGGGGCGGGGCCGAGCGCAGCGGGGTGGGGCGGAGCCTAGCGCAGTGGGGGCGGGGCTGAGGCGGCGGGAGGCGGGAGCCGAGGTGGTGGGGCGGGGCTGAGCGCAGCAGGGCGGAGCCGGGTTGGAGAGGGCGGAGCCGAGGGCGGGGAGGCGGGGGCAGGGCGGCCGGAGCCCCCGGGAGCTGCGTGGGGGGCGGGGGGAGCGGCGGAGCTTTGGACAGGAAACAGCGGCGGAGAATTCGCGCTTCTGCAAAGACCCGGGAGGGGCTGGAGGGGACACCAGAGAGCCTTAGATGCACCTGCCCCGGTGTCTCAGCGCCTCGAAAGGGGCGTCCACTGGCCACACGACGAATCTGGCAGAAGGGGAGCCCGAGCGTCACCCCGATTGTCTTGAAGTCTTTTCCCGGCGGCGTAGAGGAGTATAGGAGACATGAAAAACAATCTTAGAAAAATGGCCTTCAAGAAAACTGTGCCCATTTAAAGCAATTTTAAAAGGGAGTGTTTCCTCATCTCTCCAGCCAGATTTTAGTAGTTCTGAACTACTGACCGTCACTACGGTTAAAAAAAAAAAAAAAGAAAGAAAAATCAAGCTCAACCTAACAATATTCACCAGTGGAGTGTTGTTTCTTTTTTTAATTTCAATAGATTTAAGGATACAAGGGGGTGTTTGGTTACACAATGACTGGCTCTTAGCCAGGCAATGACTGTGCGCAGCAGGTCACTTTCCCTCCCTCGCCCCTCCCAGTCTCGTCCCCTCAGGATCCGCCCTTACACCTCCCTGTGCGCCCCGCTCCGCTCCGAGACCTACAGGCAGGACGGGCAGATTTTCACCAATGGAACATTTACCATAAAAATGAGTGAGGAAGGAAAGGGTGTGGGGGGATAGAAAAATATTTGTGTATGCCATTTAGAAATAGAAACACCAGATAGACAATCAAAAACGAATATTCAAAAAAGTTATAGAAGAGGGAACCACGAGGAGGAGACAGGAATGGAAAACGGAACCCTCTCTTGATGTGCCGATTTTAGAATAACATACCTCATTAAAAATATTAGTAAGTTAAAAAAAATTTTCTTTTTTTTTTTGCCGTTTTGGGCCAGGGCTGGATTTGAACCCACCACCTCCAGCATATGGGGCTGCCGCCCTAGTAAGTTAAATTTTAAAAGCCAGCATGGTGGCACACGACTGTAGCCCCAGCTACCTGGGAGCCCAGGAGCTCAAGGTTGCAGTGAGCTAAGATCAGGTTACCATGCAACACAGTGAGACCCCATCTCAAAAAAAAGAAAAAAAAAAAAGTCCACTAATTAGGTTTAAAGTGCAGTAAGGTCAACGCAGCAGCAATGGACACTCCCAGCACCCAGAATGTGGTCTCTAAAGACCATTCTGCACAAAAAGCTCCTTTGTGGAGTGGCTGACTCCAGGTCTGGACCAGAACAAGTACAAGATGAGTCTGAAACATCTTAATGAACTTAGAAAGGAAAAAAATGCTCCGAGATTAATGGGGTCATGTCAAAAAGACACAAGAGCTGCTAAAAAGGCTGCTACCTATTGTCCAA